GGGGGAAGAAGGTAGACTGTATTCCCCGGGGAGGGGAGGTTCGGATCAGAAGAAAAAGAACACGCGGAAAGAGAAGAGGAGGAGGCTATGAACGGGAGGATATGCAGACGAGCAAGAAAGAGGCAGAAACAGAACTAGTCAGAGAGAAAAGATGGCGAGCAAGAAAGAAGCAGAAACAGAACTAAGTCCCATACTAGGAAGGAGTGAAGATGAAGAAGAATCGTGGACCATGGGGAGGAGGAAAGAGACCACAAAGATGATGTACGCGAGAGGCATTACGCAGTTGAAGGCGAAAGAACAACAAGATGTGCACAGAGAAAGACGGAGAAGAGGACACTAAAGAAGCTGAGAAGTACCTAAAAACGTTGGCTGCTTGGAAATCTACCGGCTTCGTACCCTGTGCCGTGCACCGACGAAATCCAATGGGATAAGAAAGAGGCAAGAACACATAAAGAACACCATCGAGGAAGCATGCCGAGAGTGACGGAGAGGACAACAAACGTGCCGCTGTGACAAACACACACACACACACATATATATATATCGTCGTACATAAATATATTGTCACAAAGTAGTCAATATATGTAGTCATATATATAGTCATATATATCGTCACATGAATATCAGAGCGCAAAGGCAAACAAAAAGGAAAGAAAACAAGAAAATATAGATTGTCACACTGTGAACCGAAAAGGAAAGAAGGAAAGCTCCGCCTGCTCATCACCTCTTACGTACAAGGCCAGCCACGTGGATGACAGGTTGAGCGCTGGCTGCCCCCATCCCCGTGTGTCACAAGGACCCAATTGCACGCAGCCAAAAGGCAAAGAGGTAAAGAAAAGGAGGAGGAAACCAAACCTCACAGAGGCAAGAGAAAGAGAAAGCGATCCAGTCAAAGAAAGGACAAGGGAAGAGGAAGGTCTATTAGTCAAACAAAGCAAATGAAACATCCCACAGATAAACCAATTGCCACTGTCACAACAAAGTTCAACACATTTTTTCTTTTTTCTTTTTTTCTTTTTTTCTT